TTTTTATGTGTTTTATTATGTTTTATGTGAGTGTCAGTGATTGTATCTTGTGTTTTACCCTGTGTTTCTGTACAGCACTTTGGGCAAACTTTTTGTTTTTAAACTTGCTATATAAATAAACTGGATTTGGATTTGGATTTACATGACTAAGTGTTTCTGCAGCAGTTCCAAATGACACATTCTGTTCTTGTTTCAGCAGAAGCTTTACAAAGGATTACTATCAGTATGACTATAGTGTGATGACAGCTATTCTCAAATGTGCAACTGTGACTTGCATGTTCCACCTTGGTATATTTTTTGGAACTAGCCGGGCTACTACTTCAGCTAGCCATAATTTGCATTAGCTAAATCTTATCTTTTGCTCAAGAACATAAAGTTTGGAATTTAATTGAAAATGTCCCTTAAATGTGTGATGTTCTGCTTTGGTTTTAAGCAGCAAATAATCAAACCAGCATGTAAAAGTTAAGCAACCACACCAGTATGTTTCTTTTTATGCATGCATTTATTTTATCTACTCAGTCCTATATTTTTTTTTTCCTTTTCATATAATGCATAAAAATAACACCACTGGTAGACCAGTGAAATATATGCTCCCCCAAGTAATTGCATGAAAACAATCAACATGTGATTGTACATTCATCAGGTACAAGTGTCACATTTCAGCAGGTTTACGGTTTGAGGTGTTTTTCGTTTACAAGTTCACTCATATTCATTCTCTCAAATGCTCACACATGCACACAGACACACAATTGCTGTACAACATCATCCCAACAGAAAATGCATTTGCCTTTCTGTTAGTTCACAGATAACATAGAATTCCTTAGTGTTTTTGGTCCAGACTCCATTTGTTAAATCCATTTGGCAAAAGGATTCTAATGGGATGTTTTAAAATCTGGAAGCAATCATCAATGTCCATAGATCTGAAGATGCCATCATGATTAAGACACAGAAGACACCTCTGTCTTGCTTGTTGAAACTGAGGTCTCATCCTCCACCATGCCGCCCATTCCAATGGTGGTTAGCATGCAGTTACGGAACTGAAAGACACAGCCAATTCAGAAACTCAGAAAATAGTAAAAGACTGAAAAACAGAGAAGAAAACTATAAGAATACATAACACCAACCTGTTTGTTCATTAGCACGTAGATAACAGGGTTGTACAAAGCGGAGCTCTTTGCAAAGAAAGCAGGGAGGGCTGCAGTGAGGGCAGTGAAAGAAGCTCCCTTGTTCATGAAAATCCAACCGGCGAAGCTAGCATATGGTGTCCAAGCTACCAGGAAGCCCAAGACCATCAAGACACACATACGGGTCACTTCCTTCTCAGCTTTCTGGGTAGAAGCTGAGTCCTGCTGCTGTGCTGCTGCCTGTTAAGTTTTTCATTTAAATGTAATCAATAATAGCAAGGTGCAATAAATTCGACAGTAGCAATGGCTAGCTTGGTTAGATTAACTGATCCATTATAAATAATTTAAGAACTTTAGCTTCACTTACAGCTTTGACTGTCAACACAAGACTTCCATAAGTGAAGAAAATGACGAAGACAGGAATGAAGAAGTGGACAATAAACATGTAGATGACATATGACTCATTGTTGAAACCTGGAGCCAGTGTGTAGTAGTCGGGACCGCAGGAACACTGCATTCCCTCAGGAATGTACCTGTGTGAGATTATTATTTTTTAAATCCCATGTATTTCTTCAATAAAATTAGCTTTTATCCAGCTTTTATTCAACATTCATAATATTTCAAGACCTTTACAACTAACTACTTATTCATCTTGTTAATCTCCTTTGTGTAGTATTATGACTGTTTAAAATCATTATGATGAAATGAAAAGAAATAGAAATTACCTGGACCAGCCAAAAAGTGGAGGTGCAGCACAAGCCATTGCCATGACCCATGTGAAGAAAACTCCAGCACCAGCATGAGCTCCAGAGAACTTGAAGCTTCCCATGGGTTTGCAGACCACAATGTATCTCTCAACAGCCAGGACAACAAGTGACCAGAGAGCAACTTCACCTGTAGACAGAAAAGGTGAGTTATTCATTGATATTGTATATCTGCCAATGAAATAGAAAGGATCCTGAAAAGGATCTGACTTCTTGCTTACCTCCTAGTGTGGCCATGAATCCCTCAACTGCACAGGAGGTGGCTCCAAGAATGAAGTAGCCATTAACAGCTGATGTGATGGTGATGGTGAATCCAAAGCAGCACATGATGAGTCCAGCCACAGCCAGGTTGACCAGGATATAGTTGAGAGGTTGCCGGAGCTTCTTGTTCTGAGCAGTTACGAACAATGTCAGGCCGTTGATGGGAGTCCCAGTGCAGATCAGGAAGAACATGTAGAAAGCTAGAACTTTGTAAATTATCGGGTCTACCATATAATACTGATTGTACTCATAAGGACTTCTAACAATCCCAGTCCTGTTGGACATGGGAATGTAGAAGTTCTTGCCTTCAGTGCCATTGGGCTCAATTCCTCCATCCCAAGCCATCTTTGCTAGTCAGCTGTTTAGTTGTGTCTGCGTAAAAAGTCTACTTGTGCGGACGGTGACGATGTTTCAAGTTACACCCTGTGATTTTTATACCTCTCCACTAACCCTGTCAAACAGCCAAAATGGGATTAGTGGGTTGTGAGGTAGTGCAGAAGCTAAGAGGTCACTAATTAATCTTAACACCGGATAGACAGGACAGGGTCCAAACTAATTTGCTCCCCTTTTCAAGTCCGGAGGAATTCTCTTAATCCTTACTCGAGAAAGGGAATTACGTTCCCTCAGCTTTTAAAGTCTGAAGAGAAGTTAATCATGAGCAAACACACAAATCATACCTGAAATATGAGAAATGTCTGTGTATATAAGAACAATAACGTGTACTGATTTTAGAGTGTTAAATATATTAACTACAGCAGATAATGTTTAGTGATAGTGTGCTTTACATAGTCTGTGTCTTTTAATGTGAGCTATGTATGTGTTGAAATGTATGTGTTGCCTTCTTCTAATCCAATTCACTGTGGGTGCTTTCTTTCCTACAGTGCTTAACTACCCTACATTAAAATTTTTATGTGTTTATTATTTCAGACAAGACCTACAGTCAAGCATTTTTCACCCTCACAGTCTGTCTCCATATGGAGGAACTTTGGGTGTCATTATCCTGATTGGATTAACCTCAGTATCTCACCTGTGGTAGCTGTGGTGTGGTAAAAGCTTACTGTCACAGGTCGGAAAGAAAATGTCCGGTAAAGACTTAGCCAATTTGTTGTCTTCTTTAAGCTACTGCAACACTATCAGTGGCAAAGAACATCTAATATCAGTTATACTTCTGTTTATTTGACAGATAGAAAGGATAGATTATGATTGGGCTACATGATGGAGAAACCACGTCATTTCTCTGTTACCTGTGATTAATTCAGATCAGCTTGTTTGTGATGCTCTGATTACTCCCAGTTAAATGTGATTTGATATGATAATAAATAAATTTACTTTCTTTTATATTTTCAATATCATTTATTGCTAATTTAATTTTGGCTTTTGCTGACTGGTGTGAATATTCAATATGCTATAATTTGTGATCGACCTCTGTGTATTAACTGCCCTTTGGATGCTTAAACATATCTATACATTGCAGATGTATATATTAGTATTATTACATACACTAAGCATTTCCATTTTATTCTTTTTTGTCCTATAATATTCTACCAGGGTTTGACTGTGGTAAGTAGCTGATAGCTAAACGGATGACACTACAGTGGAAACCAGACTGCAGATAATACCTTTCAACTCAGACACACCTCAAGGTGCCTCAGGTGGTAGCCTCATTACCTGACCTCAGGTAACAAATTAAGAGAAAGACTTAAAACACGATTTACTGGTAAGATCATTAACAAATTTCTCTTAACCTCACCCAACCTGAAATCTAATTTCGCTAAGTTGAGGTCATCACCATTTATAAAATAAGGAACTGTAATTACATTAAGTGTTTGTTAATTCCTAGAGGTGTCCAGCAAAATACATCTACACCCTCATTTCCAATCAGGAGGTTGAAGTCCTTTGAACACCCACAGTTTCGTTTGGTAGACCTTTGTAGATTTCTTTATGTTTGTCCAAATCTGATCTGGACTTTCTCAACTACATCCCGGTCAACTCAGCTGTGGATGGAGTGGAGATGATGGTTTCCAGGATTTCATGGCCACACACTAAGGTAAACTGCAACTGAAGACATCAAATGTAAATATCTAAACTTTTTTTGGTTCCTTCATATAATTTGTATCTCTTATACCGTAATAATGTCTATCATTTATAAATTAATACTGGTTGCTCAAAGATATGGCTCACTACACCAACCACACAATGAAAAAGCTTCACTTTCACTATGGATTACAGATCCTATTGTACTGAGTAATGTTAAAGGTTCGTGTGGTTTAAATTTGTAACTATAAACAACAAAATTTAGGTAGTTTACAGAAATAATCTACCTGGAACAATTTTAAGTTTAATGCAACATTAAAACATTAAGTGCAAATAAGGAGTAAAGAACAAAGTGCAGTTAAAGGCTACAGAAATTAAGATCATATTTAATGCAAATGTAATACAAGCAAAAAACCTTTGTGAATCGAGCATGAATGATAATAAAAACACAATACACTTAAGCTAACAAGAATCTTTTACGCATAAATATATAAGATATAAGATATAAATATATAGCAATATGACTTTTAAAAGCACTGTAACTGTCTGTGTGATGACTGTGCTTCCAGATGGATGCGACAGACACAAGTCATCGCTGATGAACTGACACACTGTTGCTTGTTATTCTGTTGGACAGAAGCTGTAAGCGCATCTCTAATGAGATTGAGCGCAAACTTTATCCTTACTCAATTTAATCTGTAAAATTTGCTTAATCGCTGACATTCAACACAAAATCCCTGTTTGTCTTAGCACCACTTCTTTCTCTTCTGCTTAAGAAACTCTTAGCCTCTTAAAAGTCTCCATTCCTACTCCTGTTTTTCACCTCAGAAGCTTACTTAAGATACTTTGTGGATAAGTTTAGTTTTAACCTGTATTTAATCTTACCTTTAAGGCAGAAATTATCAAAACACTTTACCATTTTAAGAATTTCCTTAAAGTTTAGTTACGAGGAACATCTCTTTATACTGTGAGATTTGGTGAATACGGCCAGTGATGTGCAGAAATTTGAGCCTTTTATCCTCAATGAGCTGCTTCCGCTCAGCCATATTCTCAGGATGAGTGTCTTTCTTGAGGTCATTTTACAGAATCTCTGTTGAATAAACGATTGGGCTCTGACAAGAACACTTACTCTATAGGAGAAGTACAGAAGATAAAGTACCTGTTTGCTTCACAATATCAAGCATTAGAGTATAGTAGTATAAGCCTCCCTCCAAGCCACAGGCTCAGCAGCGCGGAGAGTACAGCAGTCATAAAAGCAGAGCTGATGAGCCTGTCAGAAAGACAGAGCTACAGTGAGAAGTAGTCTGTTCAGGGCAAAGTAGAACATGAAATTACAAATTAGTATTCGAGCTGTAACAATATTGTTGCAATAAAGTGAGACGCTGCTTTCAATCAAAGCACAATTTCATCTGCACTGTTATTGTAAATTCCCACTCGCCTTAAGTATTAACTGGAAATTTTAAGATTTGAAATCTTTGCTTAGTCCACTACAGTGACTGTGAAAGTTTGGCTACCCTTGTAGTCAAGGGAACAGTTTAAATCATGAATATTCTACTCAGTTTAGATCTGTGGCATTTTATATTAAGGGAAATGAATGTTTTGTTTTCAGCAGTAGAGAAAATGATATTATTCGGATGTGGTTTCATATGTGAAGCATGTTTGGTGATAAATTCTATTTATTTTAATGAGTGAGAACTTAACTATCTCAATGTGGTTATGTAGTTATTATAGGGTATTTACCAAATGCATATTGACTGTGTTATTAATTAAACCAGAACTGACCAAACTAACTTGAAAATTATGGATTTAAAATGAAAAGCTCTGAGCTTTTTGTCTTTGTATTGTACATGTTTTGTTTAGAGCTATTAGCATTCATGTAACTACTATAGTTTTGTTTTTTTTATTTATTAATTTTGTTTGTTAAATTCATTCTTGGGATGAATTGGGATTTGGGGAAAGAATTTTCATCAGTGTCCAGCCTTTTTAATTTTCTCAAATTATCTGGAAATTTCAAAAATGTAGCACAATTAAGATTTTTAATACAAAATTCCTAATGAGGATATATGGGATTTGTTTAAGTTCATGTAGTGGTGAACATTTACTCTCTCTACAGCAGCAGGACTTGCCTACTTTGCAAAGATCAGTGGAATATTGTTTATTTACATTTAAATAACTGCTTGGTTTCTTAAAAATTTAAAACTGGAAACTGGCTGCAGTGATTTAATAAACAGAAGACGTTTTAACGTATCAAGTAAGAGTAATCAAAAGTAAAAGTACTCCTTATACATAACAGCTCATGTCAGAACTATATATTTTCTGTACCACATTGGTGATGGAATAATAAAAGTAAAAAAGGACAAGTATAGAAAAATGTATTTACGTTATGTTCTATAAGTATATAATGTAGGCAGCTTGTCAAATTACTTGGAATGTAGAAACATAGTACACCAGTTTTTATGCTTTGATTGTTTATTATTATAATAAAGGTTTATTCTCCTGTAGAATAGAATTTGAAAGCAAATAAATCTGTTATTATTAGTTTATCTTAGAAAATATATGAATAAATTTTTCGAACATTTAGTCTAAATAAATTCAATCAAAAATGCTAATAATGTGTTAATAAAGTTCAATACATGTTAGATATGTTGTGTGGTTCATTTTCTTCCTTTTTGCAGAGTTTTAACAAGAGCATCAAGGAGCTACTTCAATGCTGGAAACACCCTACACTCCAAAACAACATTTTCAACACCGCTCTATTCCAACCAGAAACTAAAGACCCCTCTGCAAGCTGAAGCTTAACCCTTCATAATGTGAACAGGACCTCTTCTTCAAAAAGCAAAGATGCACCCACTAAACCTAGATATGAACAGAACTGGTGAGGGCTAAAGGCAGAAATGTAAATTGAGCTCCAAGATATAACAATCTAATATTTTTCACCTTGCAGTGGTAAAAAGCTGGTCTTCATTTGGGCGTTGGGTTAATTAGAATCACCAGTTAACCCCTAAAAAATTGAATGTCTTTGTACTGTGGCTGCAAAAAGGTCTCCATTTTGGAGACAACACATAGGATTTGAAGAATGTGAAGACTCAAAAAGCAAACCACAACAATCAGATGCTGTTCCCTCAACCCAAAGACACAGGTAAAAGAAATCCTCTTACCCAAAATCTCCGTACAGTATATAATCCACCTCCTCTGCAGGAGATTGTGTTGCATTCTAAGGTGAGTCTGGCTGAAGCCAAAGACCAGGCTCCCCTCTCTCCGGATTATTCCACCTATTGGAAATCAGGAACTAGATTGCCTTTGGATGTTTCCCAGTCCACTAAGGCACAGACCCCTAATACATGAGGCAGGCCCAGAGAGGGTCTACTTGGCAGGCAAGAATGGCCCTGATAACTTTTTTCTTAACAATATATTTTAGTGCCTCAGTTTTCATTACATGGAATGTTTTAGAACTGATTTTAAGATGTCCTTTCATCCTGGACCAATTTGCCTTTGGGAGATGCAAAAAGTGGCAAAGTGTCTCTGACAATATTTAAAGTCCTCCACTAGTGGAGGAATTTGTTCAGTTACTTTTAATAATTGGATGAAAATCCTTCAACATCACTATGTGCCGTGTTTGTTTTCTTGACTTTCTCTTCCAGGTGTTTGTTTTTGCCAGGTTCCTTCAGATGATTTCTAGATGTTTTCTAACAAAGTCTCGTCTGGCCTTCTTGTTCTTGAGTGTAACCAGACGTTTGCATCATGATACAAAACCCTCTGGATTTCAATGATGAGATGTCCTCCTCTTCCAGAGTATTCCAGACTTGGCTGATGTTGTTTTTCGTTTTTTAAACATAAAAATAATTCTGCCACTGCATGTAGCTAGCTTCTTCTAAAGTTTTGTTTACCCCTGTGACAGATTTATTTTTTAAGCCTAATGATTGATTTGTGATAAAGCAAATATGTCATGTCAAGGGAACAGGAGTCACATGGCCTTGAAACGTCTTGTCGGTCAATTTTCTAAATGAATTTTGAGCCTCTAGAAATGGCTGTGTAAAAAAAACAAGGTGAAAGTATGTAATTCAATCACATATTGATTCTGTTATTAAAAATTTACTGTGGTGGTTTATACACTCAAAAAAATGAAACCTTGACTTTAATTAAAATTATTTTGTCAACAGGTTCCACGAAATTGCATTGTGTTAGTTTAAAGCAAAAATCTTTAAGTCATTTTAATTTTAGTTAATAAACTACTAAGGATTAACAAGAGATATTTAAGACTACCTAAATCAAGTTATGTTGTATGAACATAAATGATATATTTACAGGTTAGATAGTTTAGATTAGTTACTTATACACATTTCTTATGTGTGGCAGTAAAATGTTAAATTTAAGTTAGATTAATTCAAATATTATATTTTCAGCCACCTTGTGCTTTACTAATTAGTTTTACATAAATCTATTATGTCAACATGTTCCACATAAATGAATTAAGTACATCCAAATTATTTTTTTAAATTTCCTTTATTGCCAACACATTCAGTGAGCATTTGTGTAAATCCAGTCCGAAACAAAACACAACAGCTCATTAGGGTTAGTAACTAACAGTATGTAGACAGATGCAACATCAAGACTTTAAATTAAATGTCTGTATCTGCCATAAATAAAAGAAAAAAACATTGAAGACCACATAACACATTGATAAGATAACACTTGAGTTATGCACATGTGATGCTAGTAAGGTCTGTGGAGTGCTTTTTCTTTAAAGTGTCTGAAATGGATAGCAAAGTTGCTATTTGCAATGATTGCTTAGGGTCAGTTCAGTAACACAACGCCAATGAAGTGCTTTCCTTTAACAATGCAAAGTGAAGTGTCCACCTCAACAGCCACAATTAAAAAAAATTAATGTAATAATAATAATAATTTACACAAAATGCTAATGAAGCCATTACAGCTTTTATTGTTATTTATCAAGATCCAAAAAAATATTGATCACAGCTGATCTGAAAAGAATTTCATACCTCATGTCTTTGAACTGTAACCTTTACACTGGTTCAGATCTGGAGAAGAAATAACAGGGACATGGGATGGATCAGTAAAGAAAACTTAACTTATAAAACAGTTTTCTTTTGAAAAGCATAACAGTTCACATACCACATACAAGCTCAGCAGTACCACATACACCACATCAGTATAGGAGGGAGCAGGTAAAGGCCAGGATCTGAAATTTAGAAAGTAAAACAAGAAATTCATTAATTAACTTCAAGAAGCAAATTACTGATTGAATTACAACTACATAAAATACTACTCAGAAGAAAAGCATGAGATTGACACTGCCACGTGCTAACTTTCTATAGAAACAATTATCACCAGGTCTGTGGACCTCCATTGTCTGTCCACTCATATGTCGTGAATAATTTCATTTAAAAAAACTTAAGTGTGTGATTTAACAAAATGTAATTTATAACTATGTTGATATGTATAACTCCGCTAGGAAACATGCTACAGACATGCTACAGACCATTTTTACATAATACAGATTACTGACAGCGCATAACAATGATGTCACAGTGGCTTTCGCCCTCGACTTTTTGGATTTTAAATCTCACAACTTCATGCTATCCTATTCGATATTTATGACTCTCGGATTACAGTAAAGGAATCCCAAGAAAGCAAATGAAAAAATAACCCCATGAACCCCTGTAGCTAATCCCTTAATAAAACAAAAAACAATAAAAAGGTTTCTTACACGTTCCACAAAATAAGCATGTTAACATATAGGCAGTTAATATAGTTGTTAGCAATAGCCTGAGATAAACAGGCACACTAAATTTCATCCCTTGTAATATTATATTTCATCTTTAGCCCAGGTTTGCTCTGTGAGGGGGATACTTCATCTGTTCCCAAAAACCTTGCACACGATGTATACCTATACCAGGGGTCGGCAACCTGCGGCTCTTTAGTCCTTATACTGCGGCTCCGCGTGGTTTGGGAAAATAAATTACAAGTATTTACCTGAAGTGTATTTTTTTTGTATTAGTTCTTTTTAAACTTGTAGTTCTACATTGAACGATTACTGTGATATTGAAATATAAAAATAAAATTATATTTTATTATTTTTCGCTCAAAATAAGCGTCACACTCGCGGAAGCCGAGTTAGTTCAGCTGGGTCTTTCCTTTTTGTTATATTTCTTTAAGAGTTCAAAATGTGTTCATTACATAAATAAAATGGAATTTTCTCTGTAGCACTTTATGGATTTCACAAGCAACAACAACAACAACAACAATATATACAGTGTTATCTTCATTTTAGATCTCACAAAGTATTTGCGGCTCCCAGTGTTTTCTTTTGCGTGGAAACCGGGTCCAAGTGGCTCTTTGGGTGTTAAAGGTTGCTGACCCCTGACCTATACAAACACCAACTGTCCAGTGGTCTCACGGTTCCCGTGTTATGATGGCAGGACTTGGCAGGATGAAAGCAGACGTATCCAGGACCCAGTAAAACTAATGTAGCAGAAGGACACGCAAACTATATAACATGTCTTGTAAGACAAACGCAAAATATAACCACGCTCAACATGTAGATACTAAACAACATAGTCAAAGAAAAAAGTGGTCTTACCTCTCAAAGAGACAGCAGCTTGCCGCCATAAACAACGTCTTTAAGTTAAATTTGAAGTCTTGCGCATGAGCAGGTCCAAACCCTGAAACCTTGTTGTTCTTCGCGGTTTTATTACAACTGTTTTTGCATTACTGCCACCTTGTGGATATACGAAGTATATCGATCCTAATTAACTGTTAATTAATTAAATGTTATGCCATCAAGTAACACATTAGTATTCTGTACAGACAATAATAGACACAATTACGTAGACTTTATTAGAAAGACATATTTTAACTTAACAAAAACATATATTTTAAGTAAGATGAAAATAAATAATTAATATACACTGAACAATCCACCTCATTCATTTTTTTTGAGTGCAGAAGCATAACTATAGAAATTATGTCTCTGTCATGCGTCACCTATGTGTGACCAGTAGATGTAAAGCACGTGAGCTAATTCAGCCTTTAGCTGCTTAAATTCACCAAGAAAGACAACGCCTTTCCAACTGTACTGACCCTGTAGTCAAAGGTCTACATGATAAAATACGTTAAAGCATATGTGACACAACGGCATAGACTGACTTGTGCTCTGGTCTATAATTACTAACCATTTTTCAAAAACAACAACCAATAATTATTTAATTGACAACAGGGAATTTGATTCAATGTAAACACATTTTGGCCAAAAAGATGTAAGCTGAAGTTTTAGCTTCAGCCTATGTTTTATACATAACACATTCTAAATGAAATCCCTTTATTGACTAGATTTTATCAAAGCAAACACCAAGAAAAATGATAAATGAATAAATGAATAGGTAGTAAAAAGAGATATAGAAGAGATAGCTTAGTAGGTAGCTCCATGATTGGAAGGTCGAGGGTCCACCAAACAGCTACCCTGAGGTACCCCTGAGCAAGGTACCATCCCTACACACTACTTCCTGGGTGCTGGATTGGTGGCTGCCCACTACTTCACTGAGTGAATGGGTTAAATAAAGAGAGTAATTTCCCTACAGGGGATTAATAAAGCATACCAAAATAATAATAATGAAAAAAATAAATAAAATGGAATATTTCATCAAGAAAAAATACTCATATTTCAGTTTTATTTACATTTACATTTATTTAAAACTTATTCTTAAACATTTTAAAGACACATCCTTTGAAGTCAGTAAAGTCACTTTTAGAATTTTACAGCTGTGTAGATTTTACAGCTGTGTGATCATGTATAATGATCTTCACATTAAAAGAAAATCCATACACACTCTATTTCAATATCATTTAGTTGTTTTTCTTTATTATTATTTTGCCACATTATAAGGGTTGTTTTGCTTTAGTGATAATTTATTAATTTCAACTGTTTCTTTCAAAAATATTAGCTCCCTTTCCACTTTATTTTGAAGCTGTTCCAAACTTTACCCATATTTAGTGTAACCGACAAACAACAATTTAGACACATTACATGTGTCATTTATTTATAATATTTCCAGTTTAGAGCCCAGCACTGAAGGTTATGGAACCTGACAAGTAACCTTAAACCAGAGTCAACATTTCTTATCTGTACATGATGATTTTTTTATACAGATGTGCTCTGAGCCAGCATCAGTCTATCTTTTCATTAGTAATCTGTGATTTGCCATATCACATGCATTTTTAAGATCAATAAACACCCCCAAAATGTACTCCTTGTTGTCATTTGCAATTTTTGTAACGTATTTTCTACAATTTAAATGACACCCATTGAGGTGGCTATTCAATAAATCGCATTTTTCAATGAAATTATCATAACTTTTCAAAAACAGAAGACACATTTTTCTTTAATGGAAAAAATGCTTCTAATCACTTGCATAAATGAGAATGACTTCTGGTGTTTTTATTTTACCTGGAAATATACCAGTACCGATAAAAAATATGATTCAAATATGCAAACACATGTTTCTGTTTTACAGTAAAAACCTTAGCTAATTACCATATGTTAGTAATTAGCTATGTAAGCCGTATTATATAAACAGAAAAGTAATTACATTAACATTTATTAGTCCCTTAACAAACCCAACTAGCCCCACTCAACCCTAGCACGGCCAAAACAGTCAGTTATAACATCTGAATGAGAAACAAGATTAGCTTTTTCGTTTCTCTGCGGGAAAAAAGACACAAAATTTTAATAATCCATCCTACTGTAGCCTACAGTCCTGTTCCCCAGTGCTAGAGTTCAAACACTGCGCTAAGACGACAAAACCGTTTCAGCCAATTAACACACATTAGCCTACTGTTACTGCGTATCCCTTTGGCTAAAGAATGCCTAAGTATAAATACACGCACTAGTGAGCTAAAGCAACTGTACCAAACAAATCAGTGCACTATAACTAACATTTTGAGGGATAATTAAGTGAGTAAAAGTCGGCGTTGGGAGTGCAGCTCACGTCATTTATTGAATAATACATGACAGAGAGAGTAACTGTTTTTCCCAGTATGGCTCA